CGATGAAGGAACTAAAAGCCAACCTTCACGGGCCTAAAAAAAGTGTATGGAAGATTGGGTTAAGCGTTGGCATATGTGTATCGCTTCAAAAGAAGCATATTTTGAAGGAGCTAAAATAAATTTGGAATAAAATTTAAATTTGTGTTTTATTTACAAAATCTGAGTAGTTTTTGAGCAAAAGGTAATTTGGGTTCCATATTTGAGATTTTTAATAACATTACTTTTTTATAGAGAGGTTTCCAACAGTATTAAATAGCAACAACATAATTTTATTATTTTTAATTAATTGAATTTTTGACGGACCATACAGCTGTTTTGAGTATTGCCAAGTACTTTACATCAGTGGTCTTTTCGAATTATTTCTAATATTTAATTAATTGTAAATAATGCAAGTACCAAGAATTAAACTCGTACTTCGCCAAATTTGAAACTCATAATCGGTATTAATTAACGAACTGACCCAAAACCGTGACTGAATTGTCTGTTTGAACTTTGAGTTTTGTTAATCTGCTACTTGTTAATTTATTTTGAAATTTTACAAAAATATAATTATAGATAAAAATATCTGTAATTAACTAATTCAATTATTCTACAGCTGGTTTATGATTTTGTTTTTATATATCACAGCAAGAGAATTTGTTAATGAACTTTCACAGCAAATTAACAAAACTCCAAAGTTCGAACATACAAGTCAAGTACTGTTTTGAGTCAATTGACTAATGAACACTGACTCTGAGCTTCAAAATTGACTTCTTTACTGTTCCAAACCTCTTTATTAGATACAATAGTTTCTATTAAGTAAAAAAGTCGCTGTTGTTATAACTGATGTTAAATTAAATTTAATTATTGTTTCAATCTATAAGTTTTATCATATACTACTTATTCTATATAGAAACGTCCTGTGTCCTAATAATAAGAAGTAGAAATCTAGATATATTATCTATAGTAGTATATCTAGATATATCTCTAAATATATATTTGAATAATGGATATCCACTTGTTGAATAAATTTTACATATACCGCTCAGGAAAAAGAACTAAAGATTTTCTCTACATACAACTACTTATTATATTTTATTTAACACAAAGCAACCTTATAAAAATCGGTTATTCTAATAATCAGAATAAAAAAATCAAATGAAATTATATATTTTTTAAATATGAAGTTGTAGATTTTGGCAATTTTACAGTATATCTTAAAACACCTTACGTCAGACCTCCCAATGAAAATTTAGTGTGTTACTCCGGGCAATAAAAAAAACAAATTCGCTATGACTGACTTAAAGATAAGGGAATTCACATCAAGTATGTCTTTAACCTTTCCCCAAGTACACGAAATTTACAAACGTTTCTGCAATCAAATTCGAAGTGGTCTTGGGAAACATAGTCATGCAACAGCGGATACAAAATGTTACGTAACCTTTGTACAAGATTTGCCAACGGGTCAGGAAGTCGGTAATTATTTAGCATTAGATTTGGGAGGCTCAAATTTTAGAGTACTATTAGTCACATTAAAAGGCAACTACGATTCAGAGCAAGTATCAGTAACATATCCAATACATAGTGACCTTATGATTGGGACGGCAGAAGAGCTATTTGATTACATCGCTTCATGTTTGGAAAATTTTGTGAAGTTACATAATATAGAGGATGATAAATTATACCTAGGTTTTACTTTCTCATTTCCTTGCACCCAAATAAACCTAACTCAAGCAATATTGAGGCGATGGACGAAAGGCTTTCAAGTGGCCGGCGTTGTAGATGAAGACATATCTGTATTATTAAAAGATGCCATTGATAGACGTGGTACCCTAAATATTGAACCAGTAGCCATTGTAAATGATACGGTTGGCACATTGATATCCTGTGCCTACTTTAATAATCAATGCCGCATTGGGCTCATAGTAGGTACTGGCTGCAATGCCTGCTATTTGGAGCATGTTAAATGCATTGAACGAATGGATGCTCAATACAGAGAAAAGAAAAACATGATCATAAACACTGAATGGGGTGCTTTTGGTGAAGGTGGTGATTTAGAATTTATACGAACAGATTACGATAAACAAGTTGACGACACAAGCCCTAATCCGAAAGAACAAATCTTCGAGAAAATGGTAGCTGGTAAGTTTTTCAATTAATTAAGATTTATAGAGAAAATGGTAGCTGATAAGTTGTTCAATTAATTAATATTTATTGAGTAAATGGTACCTGGTGAGTTTTTAAATTGATTTATATTTATAAAATTACTAATTATTTTCAAAAATAATTGTTTAATATCTAAACTATATAAGAAATACACTCACAACAATATGTAATAGAATTTTATTCATAAAGAATACTCATATTTAAGCTTTTTTTATGTATATAAATTATATATAATATTATCACAAACTACTTCAAAAACTAAACACAAGCATAATAATTACGTATTTTAATACTAATCAAATAGCGCTTAAGCCTTCATTACCAAATATAATTTTACGTATATAATCGCAATTATTGATATATTCTAAATGTATTCTAACACTGCGCTACGTCTAAATAATCGGTAAAGTGATAAGATTATAAACGAATGCACCTCTAAATTGTTTCTCTATAAAAATATAAAAGTGCTTAAACAAAGCAATAAAATGCATTATTTCTAAAAAAAATTATCAGCTCTGCACTCATTAACGTAAGTCGCTAACGTTGTAATTTCACAAAAACAAATATACAAAAATCGTTATTTATTTTGTTTTTTTTAATTATTTTAAATGAAATATATTTTTTAATTGAAATTGCAGTTCCCTGATCTCTGATGGAGTCATATTGGTCACTGGTCATTTTATAACCTTAACAAAAATGATGCAACAACTCATGTAATATTTATATAAATATATGTTTATATAAATGTATCTGTGTTTAAGAATAATAATTTTAATATATTTTTGGGGCGTCTAATTAATTATGATTAACTAGTATTAAAATTATTAAAAGAAGACTGACCTCTGTTAAATGTTATGACCTATTACATATAAGCTACTAACTTATATCTGCATGTAATGAATGATTTTCTGTATAAAATGAATTTAATTAACTAAGTATATCCTTTTTTTTTTGTATAATGAATATTACGTGAATAACTATTATTCATATTAGAACTCAATATCAAGTAATGTTGTACTTACCAGTGAATTTGTCGGTACAGTTAGCAGTTTTTGTCACTTCATAGAAAAATAGACTCCATAGAAAAATAAGGAAATTAATAGTTTCATTAGCGACACAGACGACCAAGTGACGTTCGCTACTCGTACCAAAGATAATACCAGCATTATCCCTTCGGTTTAAACATTATGAAATTAAAAAGTGCATGAAATGTCTGGATACCAATCCATGTCTCGTTTCAGTATAGTCAAATTAAATAGCTGGAGTTCTGACTTAATACCTTTAAATATATGAAAGAGCACATTTTAGTATTTTGAAAATCAAATCTTTACAAAAAGGACTACCTCACAAACGTCAACATTGAATTACATGAAGTTTCATTTGTTATTCTAAACACAAAACACAGTTCTTAAACATAAACAAGAATGTTAAGCTTAATTAATTAACACTATCACGTGAACATTTTCTTTACTCTTCTGTCTTAATACCCATACCATCTATACAACAATTTATATTGGTTCTTGAAGCAAGGAATTACTTCTCCAAGTTAAAGCACTTCAATACAATGTGTATTAAATATTATATTATAATTAGAAAGAAAAAAATTAATAACAACTTATAACAATATAATATTACAGAACACATATTATTAATTATTAATAGTATTAAATATTATATTATAATTACGAAGAAAAAAATTAATAGCAACTTATAGCAATATAATATTACAGAACACATAATAATTATTAATAGTATTAAATATTATATTATAATTACAAAGAAAAAAATTAATAGCAACTTATAACAATATAATATTACAGAACACATATAACGTACAACATAAAATAAAATAAAATAATATAATAAAATAATATAATAAATAAATATTAATTTTTAAATTATTAGATATAAATTATAAGTTTTGTATTAGTTTTAAAAATAATATTAATGTTTATAATTTAAATTTATTTGTGTTTTTGAAGGTATGTATTTGGGCAAGCTCGTTGGTTATATGACAGTAAGGGCAATCAATGAATCGTATATATTAGTTGAGAATGAAGAAAAACATAAAATTGTTGATGTTTTAGAAAAGGATCCTGATGTTTTTGAAACGTACAGAATATCTCAGATTGAATGTGATCTGTCAACGGAATTAAAGAGCATACAAACCATAATGAGAGAATTGTTTGAAGTGACATTTATTTCACATGATGACTGCTTAAATTTTAAGCACATATGTGAATCCGTTACAAGACGTTCAGCTACATTAGTTGCCGTTAATATAAGTGCACTAATTAACAAAATAAACGAACCTAGAGTTGTTGTAGCTGTTGATGGTTCACTGTTCAGATTGCATCCTAGATATGATAGTTATATGCGTGAGACATTAAGAAAATTTGTAAATCCGAAAATTGTTTACGATTTAGTATTATCCGAAGATGGTTCTGGTCGTGGTGCAGCATTAATAGCTGCGGTGGCAACCATGGGTAGAGAAGAGGAAGTTCCAGAAGTACCAGAAGATGAAGCTTTGCTTCTTCCAATTGACGAAGCCAATGCAGAAGAAGTCAACGTGTCTAGCAAATCACCAAGTAGAGCTGGTAGTAAATCAGGTAGTAAAGCAGGTAGTAAATCAGGTAGTAAAGCAGGTAGTAAAGCAAGTAGTAAGGCAACTAGTAAAGAACCTAGTAAAGAAAATCTAAATGTAAACAAATAGTCTAAATTATAATGACAAAAAAGAAATCTCCAAAAATTCGAAAGATTATTTAAATTCTATGTGAAAATTAACTAACATTAACATTTTACTTAAGAACAATAAAACAAATATATTTATTTCTAATAGATGTGTGTATCAATTTGTTGTTTAATTTTTTATCTATACATAAAAAACATAAATAATTGCATGCATAATAATATGTTAAAATCTAAATTTATCTTGTTTTAATCACTATCCTCATTGTCATAAAATATATCGGCTTTTTGGTAGCGTTCTTGAGTTTTCTTTAAAGCACTCAGCTTTTTTATGTTGAATGTCGGTTGCTTTGTAATAGTTGTATTGCAACCTAATCCCTTTGTGCCTTCATTTGAAGCAACGTTTATCTGTTAAGGAATTAATAATATATATTTCTCTTATCACACATATTAGGTGTACCGGTATGAAATGAGCGTTTTTTGGTGAAAATAAAACACTAATTAATAGGAAAGTAAAAAACATTTTATTCAAAGTATTGGCCATTGCTTTCTACACATTTTGACCACCTTTCTGGCAATTTGTGGATACCACACCAAAAAAAATTGTTCGTCTTTTAAAGCAAACCAACCAGACACCCAATTTTCGACCTCCTCTTAGGAATCAAAGTGCTGTTCAGCCAATGCGTGTCCCATCGATGAAAACAAATGGTAATCGGAAGGAGCCAAGTCTGGTGAATACAGCGGGTGGGGTAGCAGCTCCCAGCCAAGTGTTTTAATTGCATCCTGAACCCGTTTTTCTTTGTGTGCAGGTGCATTGTCATGGAGCAGAATTACCTTGCCGTGTCTTCTGGCCCATTCTGGTCGTTTTTCGATCAATGCATAGTTCAAATTTATCATTTGTTGTTCATAGCGACCAGCATTGACGGTTTTACCAGGTTTTAGGAGCTCGTGGTACACCACACCTTTCTGGTCCCACCAAACACACAGCATTGTCTTCTTGCCGAATCGATCTGGTTTTGCAGTCGATGTTAATGGTTGTCCCGGATTAACCCATGATTTTTTCCGTTTAGGATTCTTAAAATAAATCCATTTTTCATCGCCAGTAACAATACGATGCAAAACCGATTTTCTTTCGTGTCTTTGAAGCAAAATTTCACAAGTGTTTTTTCGGTTTTCCATCTGTCTTTCATTCAATTCATGTGGCACTTATTTTCCACACTTTTAGATCTTTCCCATAGCTTTTAAACGGTCAGAAATTGTTTGTTGTGCAACATTTAACATTTCTGCCATTTGCTTTTGACCCAAAGTGTCATCTCCATCCAATATCGTTTACAATTCGGCGTCTTCAAACTTTTTTGGCGGTCTTCCACGTTCTTCATTTCTCACATCAAAATCATTATTTCTGAACCGTTGAAACCATCTTTTGCATGTTGCTTCTGATAGAGCATAATCACCATATGCCTCGACAAGCATTCGATGCGACTCTGCACCACTTTTCTTCAAATGAAAACAAAAAATTAATGCTTTCCGCAAATCATCACTTTCTGGTACAAAATTCAACATTTTTAACACGATGAAAAAATATGATGTTGTCTGTTCAATGATTTGATGTATACTAAATATATTTCAACATGTCATAGTAAACAAACAAAAAAAAATGGTTCGTTTACAACAAATGTTCCCTGTCGGAACATTTGTATCTTTACGCTCACTTTATACCGGTACACCTGGTATAAGCTTTCTTACCGGTTCTAATAGTCCAGTACTAGCATTTGTTTTACCTAGCGCTTCGCCTTTATTCCAGCCCATATTTGCTAACATTTTGAAACCTTTATTCTCACTAGATATTTCACTATGTAAATAAGACACTGTGATGAGTAATTCATTAATTAATATGAATATTTTTCTTACGTATTAACACATGCAGTTTGTGTCTTTTCATTATCTGTAGAACTACCAACTTGTGTCCGACGTGTAGCTGCACGATCGTTATAACTACTATCATTTTTTTGCACATCCACAAATTCTTAAGTATTTATTAAGTAAATAAATAGTTAATAATTACCTTTAAATACTAATATTTAATGTCGTAACACTTACTTTCATTTTCCAGACCATATTTTCTCTGCAATTTTCTGAGTTGTTCTTTATGCGTAAGCATAACTACTGCTTCTGTACTTGCTTCTTGTGCTGTTTCCATTAGTAGACCGGGTTCACACAAGCCGCAAGTTGTGTTTCCTTCATGCACATGACACAATAATTTAGTTAACCCAATTTGTATAATACTTCCATGTTTCACAATTTGAGGATCACTCTCCGATTTTGAGCTAGACATACGTACACCATTAAGTAATGTACCATTCTGCGATCCGAGATCAATACAATAATACAGTTGTTGCTTAGTATCATAGCTAAACTTTAAATGGCACTGTTTGCGAAACAAAAAAAAACAACTTCAACAAGAGTATAATACACATTGAAAACATGACTTACTTTTGAGACATTAACATCTGGTATAATAATATCATGATTGCCCTCGCGTCCTAGACCACCACCTTTATACGTTACCACATACAAACTGCCAATTTTTAAATCCTTCACATTAGTTTCCTTTACAATTAAACGTAATGATGGTGGATATTTTTTTGCAATATCTGAAATAAATTACAAAAAATTAATATTAACCAATAATTATAAAATAATTCATAAAAATTCGAATTTCTTTTACTAATGTTACAGACGCACCTTGAAAATGACTTCCTCTTTTAAACTGTTGTACCTCATCCTTCTCTAGTTGATTTGATTCGAACTTATCCTGTCGCTGTGGAGTGGAGTCATTACTATTAGTCGTTTTGCTACTGCTGCTACTACTAGTGGTTGATGAAGATAATTCTCCCTCTTCGCAATCACTTTTTTTACTATTTTTAATTTTTCGCTCATTGTCACTGTCGGTATTGCTATCATTTTTATCTTCATTGTGTCTTTTACGTTTCCTTTTCTCCTTCTTACTTTTCTTCTTTTTCTTTTTAAGTTTACGTCTACGTTTTTCCTCCGCTCTTTTAAGATTTTTCTTTTCTTTTTTGATCTGTCGAAATTTTGTTGCGTCCGTTATCACTCCAAACTCATCAAATTCAACATCCGTATCCTGTAACATTAGAAAAGAAATCCGGGTTTTCATCTAAAGTTCTCTTTAAAAATCTCACCTAATGCATTGCTACGCATTCGGCTTATACTTAGACTTGAAAAACGTTTTAAAATGTCATTATTTACGTAATTATCAAATATGTCATCATCATTATTAGTGTGGGAGTTCTGAAAGTAAAAATGAGTATAATAACCATTTTTAAATCTGGAAGTTTTAATAATCACAAAATCATCAAACAAAACAAATTAGAATTATGAATGTAGTAACACAAAGAAGTAAGTAATTATATATAAGATCACTAACAACTCTACTCTTTTTGAACGTGAACTCTGTAAGCCTCTACTTCTTTACCTGTATATTTAAAAATAAAATACCATCAACTTTGTAAGTGAGCAATGACGGGAAGATAAATGATAAGAAGAAAAGAGGAACAGAAAATAAAAAAAGGATAACACGACTTTGTATTATAATAGGGACAATACTAATTAAAATTATAATTAACTATATGTAAATTAAACTAACAAAGTAGGTCAGGTATAGTGGAGAAGATGAAAGCGAACTCAGAGAGTTGGCGAACGATAGAGTCATATGTGATTCAAGTTCTCAAAACGAAGAAATTAGATCTAGAAATATAATAAATAGAATGGACACCAAGAAAATGCGGTGAAAAGTGGTGGTCTGGACGCAGATCAAAAATCAAGAGAGCATGGCTTGAAATGTCAACATAAAAGAGACCCTCCTCGAAGTAATGCGAAAGCGGTTCCGAGGGGGAATAAGCCTCGCTGAAGAGGGGGTGTTTTAGTCCGTATACTACATATTAATGTTAGGGAGTCGGGCACATCATTCCGACGACGGTCGGTTTGACGGTGCATAAAGCATTCCACCTCCTCACCACAAAAAAAAAAAAAAGTAGGTCAGGTATACTTGGTGGATTGATAAATAAACGGTAAAGTAATAAAAACCCATTTTTTTTTGAAAATTATATTTTATGCTTCAATATAGTCCCCTTCCACCTCGACACACCAAGTCCAAGGATTTTTCAACATTTCAATACCTTTTAAATAATACGATTTATCAAGTCCTCCAAAATATACCTCAGTTTTTCATTTCACTTCATCATTTGATGCAAATCTCTTTCTCTGGAGCCGTCTTTTCAAGTTTGTAAACAGATAATAGTCACTGGAACTCAAATCTGGAGATTACGGTGGGTAAGGAAGCAATTCGTACCGTAATTTACTTAATATTGCCATGGTTTTTATTGACATGTAAGCGAGGTAACGCATCCTGTAAAAACAACATTTTTTTCCTCGACAAAAGTGGTCCTTTTTCTTGATTTCCTAAATCAATCGATCCAATATAAGCAATTATAGTCTAATGTTATAATTTTTCTTTTTTCCAAATACTCTATGAAAATTATTAAACTTGAATACCAAAATACGGAAGCCAGAACTTTTCCAACCGATTTTTGAGTTAGTGGTCTTTTGAAAGTACTACACCGGGACTCTACCCATTCTCTGGCTTGTTGCTTTTCCTCAGGTGTGACGTAATGGATCCAAGTTTCATCAATTGTCACTACTCAACCCTCACAGTCAGCTAGATTGTGCATAAACATTTCAAAAAAATGTTTTGAATGAAGAAGTCGTCGGTTTTGGTGAATTGTGAACAAACACGACACTCATACCCATCTTGCCGAAAGCGTTTTCATACCCAACTATTCATGTAAAATATTCGATACACGTTCATATGATACCTATGTTTGTCATCTCTGCTATCTCGTGCAATTAAATTTTTGGATTAACCAACACAATATCGTGGATATTTTCAATGTTTTTTTCAGATGTGATCTCTTTTGTACGACCCAGAAGCTCTTTATCAAAAACACTCATACGACCACATTTAAATTCAGCTTTCCAATATTTTATTGTTGTTAACGATGGTACAAGCTTGCAGTAAACAGAACCCATTTCCAATTTTAAATGGAGGAATTTTATTACTGAACGATATTTAATTTTTTCCATTTTAGGTATAAATAATCACCAAAGTGCATTATTTCAATTATTTGCAAAAAGCTGCCCAAACTACTGATAAAGTTAAAACCTTTACAGCTGTCGTTTAAAACTTGTCAGATATACGAAATATAATTGATTTTGTTCTGGCGTTATGATCTGTTGTGAAATCAGGTAATTATCAATCCACCTAGTACAACAAAAATTAACTATAAACAGGGGAAGGAGAAAGAAGAAGGCAATGATGTATAAACTGACGAGAAGAAATTAATAATAAAATAAAGTATATTTAAAAATAAAAAGATTTTTTACAGAGAAATTATATATAACAACTAATTGAAAGCGTAGGAATAAAAGTTGAAAAATAATTAATAGTTGCTTTAAAGCAGCAATTTGACGATCAAAAAAAGTAATCAGCTTTTTATTTAAATAGACTATTTAACAATATAATGTAACCGAGTATAAAGAAAAATAAAAGGTTTCTTATAAACAAATAGTGTCACTAATATTCAAAATGTTAAGGAAAATTTAAAAATTATCCTAACTAACATATCTCAGAATAAGATAGCAGTACTACTATTTTTGAAATAAGCTTTTCATTTCTAATAGAAATATTTGGTTTACTCATGTTTGCAAAGGTCATGTGTGAAGATTTCGGATTGAAACCAAAACCTATCTGTCACATATACCCCAACTGCTTTAAGACCAAAACGCTTTTTTGTCTGTGTAGAGATACATATATTACATAGTATAATAAAATGTCTATTTTTCGTTGCTTTTTAATCTTCAAATGTTTGATCATATATAAGACAATAATGATAAGAATCGTAATTTTAAGATAAGAGCTATGTCACTATGTTATCAATGCAGCAACATCTATATAGGAAATTTATAATTTATTTATATTTAAATTGTAGTCATTAAAAATTAAAGGTCACTACTGTTTTAGTGTATAGTCATTTTTGGAAATCCTCACGATGATCACTTGAGTAGGGTTAAGTGTTTGAATATAGTTATAATCACAATAATAAATGTCTATTATTATTGAATTCGATTTAACATTATAAAAAAAAGTTATGATAATAAGATAAGGTTAGGTTGAGGGCAGGCATATTAATACAAACATCACCACTTTATTTCAGAGACATTTTCTGCCAATTGCGATATCAAAAGAGGAAACTAAACACACCGTCGTCACCATTATGAATCTGTGTGCTATCATTATTAATCTATTTAGTGATTCATATGAAGTTAAAGAGATCTGTTAAGTGTACCTTTCTCTATCAGATAAGAAAATAAACGATATCCCATATATCAAAATCGCTTTGTCTGTATCTCTATTTTTCTATTTTCTATTAATTATCACATAGACCGATTATCGGATTACGCCATCAGGATACCACTTAAATACTTTAGTAAGCACCAAAATGTAAGTATTTTCTTATTTTCCTGTCTAATCTAATATATAGAGTTTTAAAATCAATTCACAGTTCATAAAACATAATACAAATTTTTTAAATTGAAGTGGTATTATCTTTGGCATTCCAAAACTGAACTAAAATTCTTTTTCCTAATTTAAGTTAAAATTTTCACGTATTCTGAGAAAAAAACAGGACGACATTTAATAATGTCTTAAATTCTATTCAAAACTATTCTACAAAGTCTGTATGGACATCTTAACTTTCAACTTTTTTTTTATTAAATATCTTTCAAATATAACTCATACCTTTGAACTTGTGTTATTAGGTTGTACTGGCACCTGAGAATGAAATTCAAAAGAATTTTTTTCTTGGTTATAATTGTAATAGCAGCCAGTATTTCCATCATAATAAAGACCATATTCCTATTTAAAATATTTAAAATAAATTAAAATATTTCATAATAGAGAATTTTTAAAATTTACCGCATTATAATAATAGCCAGTCTTGTGATCATAATATAAACCCGATGTAGGCTCATAAACAAATCCATTCAGGTGTTGAGCTTCATCAGCTGCCTTTCGTATTTCAGCCACAAAATCTAAGGTTGTATTTGGGGAAGCTAATAAAATAAATAAAATATATTAATTATTCTCTAATAAGGTACATTTAATTTGCATTTATTAATACACTAAGTTTGAATTGTAAATAACAAATAAATAAAAGCATTAGCACAGATAACAACGAATCTATAACATATGATAGCCTAACATATGATAAACATTGATTAATTTTGTATGAATTATTTTATTGGGCCACTTCAAATTATTCAATTTATTAATGACCAGCAGGACTACAACACCACGTAATGGAAAAAGTATTTTACCTGATAGATATTATTGCAAGCAATAAACTCAAAACATGGTAACAGACAATATAACATTGTTAAGTGGGTAATATATGACAAAATCTATTACCAGAGATTAAAATATTGTGCCGGCAAATTGATATCTTCAATTATATTTTCATTCTCTACATACTCAAAAGGCTTTTGTTTATTGCTAATATCGCAAAACAAACTATTTTCTATATCTTTAAAGATAGTGACTGCTTTTATAGCCGCTCTGAGTTACTTTGATAAGTTGTATTAATATTTAGCGTTTCAACTTTTATTTAACGCTATATACATATACCCTGAAGTTAGATCCAATAAAGAGCTTTCTACAAGTTTTACATAGGTCTGTAACTGTGGAGTTCCTGCGTAAAAGTTTGGACGTACTCCAAAATTCAGAAGACTGCTAGATTAGAATTAGATTAGATTAGATTAGATTAGATTAGATTAGATTAGATTAGATTAGATTAGATTAGATTAGATTAGATTAGATTAGATTAGATTAGATTAGATTAGATTAGATTAGATTAGATTAGATTAGATTAGATTAGATTAGATTAGATTAGATTAGATTAGATTAGATTAGATTAGATTAGATTAGATTAGATTAGATTAGATTAGATTAGATTAGATTAGATTAGATTAGATTAGATTAGATTAGATTAGATTAGATTAGATTAGATTAGATTAGATTAGATTAGATTAGATTAGATTAGATTAGATTAGATTAGAATGTCGACCGCTAGATAAATATCCGAACAGTTAAGCATCACAAGAGGAGCCACAACTACAAGCTGAACTCAAGAGTGACTGAAAAATTTACCAGTCACCACAATAACAAGATTGAATGTTAAATGTAGTATATAGTGCTTTCCGAAAAGGAACAGTCCTTTGATACGAACCAGTTAGTCAACATATATGAAGAGTACTCGCTGATAATGGAGATGTCAAGAATTTCTATTCTGTTTGCGGCTATGAAGATTGGTTCATTATCTATATTACCAATTACCAAGCCATCATCACTAATCTCGCTTATTGGTGTCGGTGCTGCCCCAGGTTTTATGATTTACACCATATATGTCGTGACAATAGAGAGAGCGTTGGAGTCGTACCCTACTCCAACTATGGCTACACTGTCGTTGTCACTGAACCTAGGTAGTAAATAAGCATTAATGTTATTTTTCACTAGAATGTAGGTTCAGAATTTAACTTGACCTTCAACCATTTAATATTTAGTCCACAAACTCGGTTATTACCAACCCAAAGTTCTAGGACCAGGATCTCCACCCCTCAGTCAAGGGACGAATAATAGTTGCCGATACAGTTCTAGACTATTATAAATTTTTTTCATAACCCTTAACATTCTCAGCATATCTAATGACGATATAGCACCATTTAATTAAAAAATTTGTTCATCAATTCAGAAGACGAAATACAACTGCCGTCTTCAGAGGAAAAGGTGCTGATTCGCTCTTTCCGTCTTTGAAGTTAGTTGGATCAGCGACTAACATAACTTCGTTATCGGAAGATTGCTTACAACCTCTGATGATTATAGCCAAACAATTTGAGGGTCGTTTTTATATGCCCTAAGAGCGACCGTATTTCATCCCTCTATTACGAGATTTAAGAGGGACGGGAATTGTACGTTAAGAAAAAGATGTTCACATATATCAGTATTGGGGTCACTGACTCTTACAACATTCAAGTCGTGGGTTTAAAGGTTAGTGTTATTTTACTTAAGAATAAGACAGCAGTAGGTAAAGGGGCGCCGAAGGTAGCAAGGCCTTCGAGTAAGATTTTGACAAGATTTTACTATAGTTTTTAAAATATAAGTTTTGTGTTAATATTATATTTAGTTTTTGGATATAGCTTGACGATTTCAAGAGTTCAATTAACTCAAATGATTTGTGAAGCAAAACAAAATAAGGAAAAACGTAACATTTAATATTTTATTTAAATTAATTTTTTTTTATAGATTCATATATGTTAATTACTTTTTTTATTGCAGTTTGACGTTATCAAAACAGAATTTGTCTTATTAAAATTTTTTTAATTGCATTTCTCCTTGTAAATTTCATGCTATTTCACAGCAGTTGAAATTGATAAGATTCCCTAATCATATTAATCTGACTCTGTAGACATTTAATTTCTAACAAACGCGTATCATTGCATTTATTTACAATTACAAAAAGAAATTATATATAAAGCAATGTGCATGATATGTAATAAAATAAAACATGAGGTGTTATAAAATCGTAGTAGTTCATTTCAGTTTGCATGGTTTTATTTCCTATGCAAAAACTCTGAAGTACGAGTATTAAATGATTGGGCTGTTATCTGTAGTGTTGATAGAAAAGAGTGACGTATGATTGTTTTGATACAATTTTTGACTCTTTCGGATATCTTTGACATGACATTAACATTTGTCATTAATATAAGTTAGTAAACATTGGAATTTCTAGTTAAAACTAGAATAGCTCGCGTATGTTTCTAAAAATAAGGAAATTAAACTAATTAACAACAAAAGCATTTATCTAGAAAACAGCTGCTTTCTGAAGAGATTAAAAGGTTTATCTTTGAAACGCTTGGATCCAATAGTTTCGTATTTTTTATCGATTGGAAAATATAAACCATATTAATGTACAGTAGGTAAAATGGACAAAATTTTTGGACTATTAAAAATTGAAAATTAAAATTAAAAAACGTTTATGAAAACCAAATTAATTTGGTTCTACTATCCTGCTACTGTTAATAGAAAGTAGTATATATAGAATAGTAATAATAGTACTGCTATTACATATTATTATTATAATGGTAATTGCTTTATTTCCTCGCAGAAGATATATAAGTCACAATCTTAAAATTTTTGATCTAATATTATTGTTATTAAATTTGGGTACTTTGCACAGCCGCATAAAGATGTTTTGTGCCTCTTTTACAGATTCAGCGTATTTCCTCCATAAATTGTAGTATTGAACCTAGTTTACCCTTTTATATCTTGACCCGACCCAAGAGGCACACCTAGGTATTTCTATCGGCGACAACAAAATACATATGTATATAAGAATTGTATTTTCTTTGTTGCAACGTCGCACCTTTTCCAGTTATTGTGGTCGTTACTCGGGCTCATGAAAATCCCTTAATGCAACAAAAAATATCTTAAGCAGTTTTACACTAACTAAGTAGATGCTCAAATAAATGAGAAAAAATTTTTATTATTATATGACTCATACTGATTAATGTGCAGTTTTAATAAATTATAGGAATAAACTGTATTAAAAAATAAAATAAAAAATAAAGAAAATTAACACTGTCTTTTACCACGACAATGTCACACGACGACTACCATCCAAAATAGTTTCTGTATACAGCTAGCTTCCAACTATCAACAATCTAACCTAGTTATAAACTTATAGACAAAGCTTTATGGAAAGACATTTGGTTCTATTCCTGAAACTCGGAATCAGAAATAAAGCTTGTGGCGGCAATATAACTTCCCTGTACATAAACACACCTCTACAAGCCAAAGATGAATCGTTCTATAATGCAGATAGAAAAATATTCGAGAAGCGTTGGATATATACGCTCTTGAAAAAGTTTTTATTGTTAAATAATGTCGAATTCTACCAAAAGTATGAAATAAAATCCCGAATGATATCACAAAGTACTGATACTAGAACCCTCGTTCTATGTGAGTTTCAGTATGTTTTGAGTGGAACTGCCATGATAAAATAATAATAATAAAATTGCCTGAAAGTGTTTATTTCATTAATCATACTAAAAACTTATTGAGGAATAGTTAGGTAAGGTTAAAATAGCAGACTGGTACAAAAAGGTCCTATTAAATAAATTTGTTTGACTTTTTAATTTTATTTCGGATCGGAGAGTTTGTGTGAAATTTAGTGCCACAATTCAAACACTACAGAAGACTTTTAGTGACGATGCTATGCAACAACTACGAGTTTATGAATGATACAAACACTTTCAGAAACCATAACTG